TAGTGCCATAGGAGTGAGCATGTTGGATGGCCTGCAAGAGGTAACATAGATTAGTAGAATTTGACTAAGTATGGAAAAACTACCAAAAGAATAGGAAAAAGGTTTACCAAGACCGAGTGTTGCATCATAAAAACGAAATCTTCATACTCATGTAACTCGGCCATACGGTTCATGACTTCAGGCAGAAGAATTGCCGTGGATAAGGCCGCGCCGACCTCAAGGTTCACAGCATTGTCACTGACGGTAAGAGGTCTGTCGTCAAGCATGATCTCGGATGCCCAGACCATGCCTCGGAAGTAGCTGGTGCCTTCTTGGTGGTCGGACCTCGGCTTTTTGGCAAGTGGGGCCTCCGATGCTGGGTCCTCGGCTGGATGTTTTTCGGCACAAGGGGCGCTCTTCTTGGCCTTAGCTAACTTTGAGATGGGCACAATGTCCTCAAAATCGATCTGAGCCACTGTGGCCTTTGCCTTGGCATTCTTCATGCGTTTTGGCTTCGAGGTTGGTTGGGAAGGAGAGGATGATGATTGAACTGCCACCACCCTAGGGATGTTGGTGAGCAGGTCTTCAACAACTGCTGGTTTGCGCTCTATCTCGTCGGTAGTGGTGGCAACGGTGACTTTTGTGCTGAAGTGAATTGCTGGTAAGGTTGTGGGTGGGTTGGCTGGATCGTAAGCCAGCACCTCAGTACTTTGGCATTTTTGGCTACGAGTTCTGCCAGCAGGAGTATTGGTAGGAACTCGGCGACGACGTCGGCGCTGGGTAGGAAGGATCAGTTGGGGAGCAGATGTTGATGGCTGCTCCGCTGGATCGAAGGTTGAGGCTTGGTCAGGCCGAGGTGATGAAGTGCTATGAGGAGTTATTGCTGAAGGTGGAGAGTTACTTTTCTTGGGGACGTCAGGTAGCACCGATTTGTAGGTTGGAATGTAGTTGAGCAGCAGAGGGGCTTTCCGCTGGTCAATCGGCAAGCCCAGCAGCTTCTTGAAGTCCTTGCTGGGGTAGAAGGTTTTGCGGAAGTCTTTTGGTGATTGAGGAAGAACTACAAGTAAAAAACAGACATTAGAACATATAGAGGAATAAAGTAATAATGACTTAAGAACATGTAAAGTGACACTTGGTTCTTACCATTACCCTCTTTGAACACTGTTCGACTTAAAGGATAAAGGTGGAGGTCGTCATCAGGTGGGAATTCCCAGTTGTCGAAGACGATGAAATAATCATCTCCAGTACCTTTATTGGAGTCTGGGAGGTCGGCTATGAGTTTGTACTCGGTGGATCTCGACTTAAGGTAACAGATGCAGCATTTTTCAGATTTCAGGCCACACATGGTGTAACAGTACTGGATGTTAGTTAGTGTTATCCTAGCATTCTCTCGGCTTGCTAGGGCAATTATACCGTTAATGACTCTGTAAGAGTTAATGGCCAGCTGCATTGGGTTAAGTTTGTAATAACAAAGGACTTGGCGGAAAAGGATGTTGAGCGAAAACCTAAGTCCACACTCTATGAAGGCCACTACGAGAAAAGGCATAGAGTCCCCATCAGGCATGATGAAGTCCTCATCCCCTGCCAACCTAAGGTGAACATCGACTGGGATGGAGAACTCTGTCCTAAAGTACTCTAGTTTGGCCGGGGTGTCTACTCTCCACCTAAACATACCCATGGTGTCGGCTTATGAGGATTAAGGAAAAATTTCAGAAAAGAGTGTTTGGTATGGGTTTGAGGACCTCGGCTAAACCCTAGAAAGCACTGAGGTAAATTTTTCTGAAAATCTAAAAGGTTTTTGGTTTGGTTTGGTTTTCCTAAAGAGCAAGGTTCTAGAATAAATCCCAAGCCTAGGTCTATGGAAACAAGAATTGAAGGCAAGAATCTGGAAAATACAGCAAGAAAAACAGAAAAGAATGATGATTCAGACTCAAGAAAACCAATAAAAATTCAAGAACATTGTACAAAGTGTGTGCAGATGTGCAAAGCCAAGTATAGTGGCAAAATAACCATTGTGACAGAAGTATGTGTATACATATACCTAGAAACAGATTGGACAGAAGCAAAATCACAAACAAACATGATGAAATTTAAAACACAGACGAAGATTCAAGAACATGAATGGATTCATAATGGCAGCATACAAGCGTAACAAAGTTTGAAGTAAATCAAAAACTGAAAAAAGGGAAAACGATGCCTTATCAAAGAAAATAACGCCGGTGTGAGGTACGCCGGAGTTAGACGATGGTGATGCGTGGAGCAGAACGGTGAATGCCTCGCCGGAGGGGAAGAACGAAAACAGTTGCAGAAAGCTTTGGAGAACGACAATGGCGGTTTTTTCTTTAGAGAGAGAAAGCTTGAGAGAAATCAAAAAACGTGAAGTGAAAAGACGGAAAGAGGGAAGTGTTTTTGTTAAAACATGAAAAGGCGGCAAAATCACAATGAATATGCCTTGGACGACATGCCTATCAGGCGGTACGCGCAGAAGTGACGCGACCTGATGGCGCGTGTTAGGTACGGATCAATGAGGAAAAGACGCGTGGCAAAAACGGTTGAAAACCATTAGGGGTGTAATTTTGGCCAGTGGCCCGCGGCCGGCCCGAAGCCCACCTGCAGCCCGAGGTGGGGCCCAGCCCGTTAAGGCCCGAGCCCAAGCCCAGCCTGATGCTTTGGGCCTTGGCCTAGGCCATCATTTTGAAGCCCAGCCCGGCCCGCTTGGCCTGTGCCCATTGGCCCACTCAAGGCCTGCCCAAAAGCCTGGACCGAGGCCCCGCCCGCCCGGCCCAATGTTTTTTTTAATGGAAAATAATAAAATTTTGGTGGAAAAAATTTTAAAAATTGTTTAGGCCCGCCCAAAGCCCGAATATCCCTGGGCCTGGGCTAGGGCCTGGGCCTAGTTTTCTGGCCTGTAGGCCGGCCTGGCCTGGCCCGATTTTTTGACGGGAGCCCGCAAGGCCCGACATGGGCCTGGTCGGGCCAAAATTACACCCCTAAGAACCATGCGTGACCGCTCATGTGCAGATAGAACTCTTGGAGTTCTTGGTTTAATGGAGTAAGAAATTCGACTAGAGGGACAATCTCGGATAAAGAACTTGAAAAACTTGGTTCTTGATTCTTAGTCATTGGTGAAGCAAACTACAGTCTTGGTCATATGGAGCCGATGTTTTATGACCTCAGTAATGAAGGATAAAGTAAGTCTTAGCCAACGTGTTATGTGGACAAACGATATAGGTTCCATCACCTCAAGATGCCGAGGCAATAGAACTTATGAGGCAGTTGTGGGGGGCATATTATGCAAATGGCAACACGTGGCCAAGGTGACACCAAAGTGCCAGCTAAGGTGCCATGTGTCCTGTCATGGCGCCGAGGTGATCTTGGCTAGGCCGAGGTTATCTGCGAAGATATCGGAATCCGAGATGAACGAATAAGGGTCAAGAGTCGTAGAATGGGGGAGGATCTCAATCTGGGTAAAGATAAAGCTCTTCAGGGGTTTATCTTTATCTATTTGAGAGTGTAGGATGAGCATTATACTAGAGTCCATTGAAGCTAGGCTTCTACAGGGATCAGGTTAGTGCTGGCTATAAAAGTAAGGCACCCTCGTGGGTCTAAGGTACGCTGTTTTTTGTATTCTGGTTAGTGAGTTAAGCATTATTTATTATATTTGAAAGATAACTGAGTACTGAATTGATCGTCGGAGTGCCCCGAGTGAACGAACCACCGCCAGAGTCTTATCTTTCTGTGACAAGTTGTTCGGGCGAGATCTATTATGCCGGTGCTCTCTAACTGGGTACCTGTTTGGTAGTGAGGCCAGAAATCAACACCTACAAGTAAAATATAAATATATTTTATTTACATTTTACTTATCTTTTTTATTTTATTTTTTTCAAATCTCTTTTCAAATTCTTCAACCAAACAATTAGAGAAGTATGCTGCTTTTCTTTAGAATCACTCACCAAATGCCATTCAGGCTCCATCAATTACATACATATCATTTTTGCTTTTTTTTTTTTTTTGTTACAGGGAAATCCTCCCACTCTCCCGCAGGTCCAAGGCAACACCCCTTGAGGAGATCACCAGGATGTCCTGTTGTCCGTTCCGAGTAAGAGACTATAACCTAGAAGCTTGTCCCGACCTCCCAAGGCAAACTCCGCTTAAGTCAGGACTCGCACAGTGGGAGAGAATTAAACCCACAGCAAGTAGCTGATAAGACATTCTTGAGATCAACCTCCTAACCAACTGTGCTACGTCCAAGAAATTGACCCAGAGAGAAGTTAAACCCAGGACCTAGGGGCTTAAACTCCAGAGCCTTACCAGGTTGCCACTAATATAGAAGAAGACGTGTGTTCCAAAAAAATACTAAAAGAGTTTTTGGATGTCTAGCCTTTTTTTTCAAGATGATGTTGATGTTTCCACCCACCCCTGTTAACTGTTTTGGAGGGCGATTGGGAAAGGCAGACGCACACAAATAAATGTATATATCCAAGACATCAAGTTGCGATTGAATGTGGTTTGAATTAGTAACACAATATTCTATGGTTTCTAATCATGTTGTGTTGTAATTCTAGCTGGTACTAAAACTCAACTCGTTTTCTAAATAAACAAATTTAAATCAAATTTGTAAACTCATTTAGTAATCAAGCCAAAATCCAGTAAACTCAAACTCACCTCAAATAAACTCGTGAACGTAATTATATATAAATTATTATTTATTTTAATGTATTGATATATTCATTAGTTTATTCTATTTCTATATTTATGTTTGCCATTTGTAAAAATTAATATATTTAATGAATAAAATTTATTAATAATATGAGTATTCTTTTATATTTATTTCATAATTTCCTTTTTCCTCTAATGTTCATATTATTCTTTTTTTTTTTTTTTCAACTGAGCATGAGTTTCTCAGAAACCAAACTTGCCCCAAAGCACAAGAATTTTTATCTTACAAAAGCACATGAATGATTTGACAAAACAAATATATACATCCCTACATTCTTGACAACATTTCTGAAAGAACACAGTTGAGGAGTAACAAATTTTTTTCTCTATTGAGCAAAAAATTAAAGCGTCCAAACAAATTACAAACAGTCATCACTCTCTTTCCTCTGTAACTGTGGCACTGCACTCTACAAACCCTAACTTTGTTTTAATCATCGATTACCACTAAATACAAAATAATAATAATAATAATAATAATATAATCTCTTTACATCAGCGGCATATTCATTCAACCCTCTATCCTCCAACCCCACAAGATGCAGATCCGAGCCAATCGATGTGGTGCCATCATAAGGGGTCAGCCCAGGCAACAAGACTGAAGCAGCGTACTGATGTTTTAAAGTCGAAGCAATCAGGATTATTTGCCCCTTCATCCTGCAAAACCGGGCAAATGGGCTGTGTCTCTCAATTCTCAAAGAAGCTATGAATATCTATTGATAACTATGTACTTTCCTTTCTCTAGATCATAGATTGTCTTCAACTGGGGCTTCCTCCATTTTGATAAAGACCATGCACTAAAAATCAATACGATGGAGACAGCAAACAAAGCGAAAAGTGTAGATGAATCGTTGCCAACGACAGCGGCAATCCAGTTGGGATGTTCTGCGTCTGAGTTGACCGTGCTCTGTAAAATGAAAGCTCCCAATGCCCAATCGAGTGGGATATCTCCCGCTTGATTAGCAAACCCAATCCTGCTCAGTAGCAAGTCCGATCAATGCAAAATACATACGTTATGGTATTACATAATCACATGCCCAAGCCACATAGAGAGGAAGAGGAGCAAAAAAGCTCACAACGCATTGAACCTAGGAAACCCAAACACTTCTAAAAAGGTGGCGTACGTATCTGATACCATATCAAACAATGAGACGACATGAACCGGACACTACTCAACACCTGTCAAAACACATTTCAACATGTCCTACTAGTTTTAAAAAATTCCTAGACTCGGGGAAACATGTGTCTAGTGTTTAGACACACATAAAACACATAAGTTTGAATAAAATAACTTGAAATCTAATGATAAAAATAATTTTTTTTTAAAAAAACGTAAATTTATACATATTCTACTCCTTTACACCGTAAAAAGAGTGATATTTGAATTAAGGATAAATTACATTGACACCCCTTGCGGTTTGGTCTAATTACTACGCAACCCCTGACGTTTTGGAAATTACATTCTCACCCCTGTGGTTAATAGTCTCATTTCACAAACCCCTCTACTTATATAAAAAGTAACAACTCCTAGTTGAAAAATAGAGGAAATTACATTAAAAAAAAAAATAAAGGAAAGAGGGAAAAAAAAGAGAAAGTAAAGCAAAGCCAAAAAAGAGAGAGTGCATGAGTTCAATATCTTCATTCCGTCTAAATAATTACAATGACAGGGAGGTTAATGTAATTTCCCAAACGTCAGGGGTGATATGTATTAAATCCAAACCTCAAGGGGTGTAAGTGTAATTTACCCTTGAATTAAATATTCCTATATGACATATATTAATTATTTATCTTTATATATGCCATTTAATAAATATATAAAACTATAGTTTGTGCATGTTTGTAATGTGTCATGCCATCCTACATTTTGAAAATTTCCATGTCGATGTGTCTTGAGGTATGTCACATGTCCATGACCATGTTTGTGCTTCTTAGCATTGAACCATAACATGAGCTTGTGCACATGAAGCCTTAACTTTAACCTTAACTCTTTAATACAGAGAAACAAACATCAGTGAGGATATTTCATGCGAGTAGGTTAGTTGAAAAAGTGGAATTAAAAGATTACCTTTCATCATCCAAAGCAATTCCAAGGCTGTCATGAAGTAGGGCCACAATATATGCAGACGAGAAGCAATAACGCTTCAAATCGTCCTCCTCATGTGAGTGGTATTTCATCTTCAACTTTTGCCAATCCTCTTCACAGAATTGTTGCCCAGCCGTCATCAGATTAGAGATAGATGCCCTTGGGGCCAGCCCAAAGAACTACTCAAAACAAATGAAAAACCAAAAGGTTAAAATAAATCAAACATAATGGATGCATCCAAACATGCTTTATGGTGGCAAGTGCAAGTATTTTGATTTATTTTAATTATAATTTTTTTCCAAAAAACATAAGCAAGCATAAAACTGGTACCTTTGATGTATAGAAGAAATTTTCTGTGCCTAAAAGCTTCCCCTTAAGCTTGGGTATGAATATCGATCCTATGTGGCAGTGCTCATAGGAACATTGTTCTGCATCTCGTATTAAAAAATATTTTCATCAGTTTCAATAAGAATTGAAGGGAAACACCCTGATTGATGCAAAACATGATCCAGTGTTTCTGATAGAATTCCATATTACCTTTCCCCTTTTGCAACAGTGTTAATGCAGCAGATCTGCACTCTGAGAAGTTACCCTTGGGTTGCAGAGCGGACGAGTCTTTACTCTTTTCAGCCATGGAACCAGGAGAGAGAGTCCAAGACTTCATGTCATGTGAATATCCACTAGGAGTACAGGGATCTATTAATTCAGCAGCTGCATTAAGCGAAATACAGTAAAAAAATTCCTGAATGAACATCCTTTTTCTTCAAATTCAAATATAATTTCTAAAAATTTATCTTCTTAACTTGCTTTTTGTTGGGCCCACTCTAGTCAAATCTTCCTCAATCTAAACCACTTGCAGATCAAAAACTTACAGTATTTAAAAACATGGAACACTGTTATTAAGAAGTTGAAAATTAAATTTCATTCCAATGTATAAGATTCTCAGCTTATTAAGTTTGTTATGAAACATTACCAACAGTAGTAGATATCCTAACAGAGTCAAGCTTAATATTTGGTGATCACATCAGAACTAACTTTAGCTATCATTCTGATAAGTCAGCTTAATGATCTAAGTTCCAGGCAACTGAGGCAAGACAATGGAAAACCTTCCCAAGAATATGAACTGTATAGAAGCAATGCGATAAGTAAGACCATATCTACTAACCCATGTTAGGTCTCTTGAACCAATGATTTCCCAGAACAATTCAAAAGCAATATTGTAAAGCTTAGCATGATACACTAAATTTACATAACCAACTGAGAACGAAAAGCATGTTGGCTTACCTGATTCTGGGGCTCTTGTAACAAGTGATTCCCGTAATAGATCAAATGCAGCATTCTGTACAATGATACTAGTAGCTTAGATTAGCCATTTACTGCTGAAGTACATAGTTAAATTAGAGTAGAATGTGCTCCGAAAAAAAAAAATGAAAACAAAAGAAAGGAGAGGAAAGAAAAAAGAACCTGGAACAACTTAACTAAAAAACAGATAAAAAATCATGAATAGTAGGGGCATTCTGGTTAGATGACAAGATCAACCTACTGAGGTATATTTTGCTAAATTCAATATGCATACAAAATACTTTTATCATCCAATCATGTCAATACCACCTAGTGAAGACACCTGCTTAAGTGAAGAGTTTACCTGACCAAAATGAAGCAAACTATGACTGTAGAGATTGTAAGTAATGTTCCCAAATTGAACAATACGAGAGAACTCAGTGGGCACCGGCTCGCTTGAAACAAAGGTTACCTGAAACAACAGTAAACATGAATCATTCACACTAGAGTTCATGCAACTTGAGCTTTCCAATGTTAATGCAGAATTGTAGCTACTCATTTCAAAAGCAGTGAAAAGAGAAAATAATATTGTAATTTACTGGATGAGGTATTATATAGTTGCTGCCAACAAACATACTTTACCAAATGCAGGTCCTTCCAAAATTTTGTTCCGTTATCCGTGTCTCAATTATTTTAACTTATAGTCCACACTAAACAATCAACCAAAAAATAGGGAAATGGAAACCAAACCTGAGCAGAAGCCCCACCGAGTTCAATGATTCCAGTTGTTTTCAAAGGATCACCTCCGAGAGTGCCCAGGGCATAATTTGCAACAACCCAAGCATACATCCCTTCATCAGAGCCTAAAACAATAAAAGGGCCCAATCTTATGCTTCATGATTGTAAAGCACACATCAAATTATAACTTCCATAACCTAGTGTGGTGGGAAATTAACCAGGAATTTCAAACTTCCCTAACCATAAAAAATATCTTCACAAAAATTACCAAATCAAAAATAAATATATGAGTTGAATTTATTAAATAGTATTCGCTTATAGAAATATTAAACCACAACATTTAACATAAGAATATCATACACTTCTCCAATTTCGCTCTAGGTTATGCAATTGAAAGAGAGCCAAAGTAGAGGTTTCAAGTAGTTTCTCCAACTTCTATGTCTTTAAGACAATCAAATCATATGATGACACTAGTTGGATGTAGAAACTTGCAAATCAATAAGTATGGAGAGAACTATCCAAAAAGCAATCCGAATAAGGAACTTGAGACCTTAATTCCATAGTCACTTAACTGAAACAAGATTAAAATTTATATCAAAATGCAAGCACATGAGTTCCATTTTCGATCCCATTGCAAGACAAGTAACCTTTTTCCAGTCTAGGCAAACACATTTTGCATCTCATCCACAATCTCTATCAAATAATCTGTCATTAATACAATGAACTTCCATTTCATCCATATATGAGTATTAAACAATCAGTACTAGTAGCACCAAGATTTAGTTAGCAGGTTCCTCAAAAAACAAGCATGCCGACAAGGGTTCTTATGAAAAAACACACATCCAATAAACTGACGTAGATTTCTCTCTGACTTAACATCAAATTCACAACAACAAATAACAGACAAGAATAAGTCTACAACACACAGAAGCGGTCACGTGAACCCACTAACAAAACCTATAAAATTGTATATTCATGTGTTTTTTTGTTTATGTGACTGATTTCTGTGTTCGTCGTATAACTTAATTGAAAATTTACAAACAATGAGCACCAAATTGAAGCCAAAATGCAGTAAAATGAATCAAACCAAACCAAACCAATTTCACGATTTCCATACCAGAGATCACAGACGCCCAATCATCGTGAAAATTGAACCCAGACAACCTCAGAATCTGCCGGCACGACTTCAAAATCCGATCTTGAACACCCAAATCCAGCATCCGGAGCCCCGCGGTGGCCATGAGCCGAATTTCCGTCTCACTCCAATACTCCTTTGGAACCCTCTTCTTCCCAAACTCCACCAGCTCCTCCAAAGACCCGCCCGCCCCATCCGGATCGTCCGAATACGCCGACAGCCCCGGGTTGACCCGCATTGAAGCCAACCCATTTTCCCCAAAATCAAAAATCGGAATCCCACCCTTAATCCCATATTCAAACACATGTATTCGAGTCCCAGTGCTTCCTCCATCGATCACGATCCCAAATTTCTTCTTCTCCTCGGAATTCCCATACCTGCTCGATGATGAAGATGATGATACGAATATGTAACAGAACAAAGCTAGGGCCATTGAGATCGAAACGAGGATGAAAATGTTGGGCTTGTCTTTAGGGTTTCGAGGGAAGAGATTGGATCGATGATGGGTCGGGTTTGGATGGAATTGAAGCTTGATCGGATCCATATTGCTGTTGTTTGTGTCGGTACTAGGATTACGACGATCAAGTGTGCGAGCATTCGATCTTCGCATCAAAGGGTGGACAGCTCAAAGAATGCACGTAAATCATAAACGAAAAAAAAAAAAAAACAAATTTGTATTTTTCGATTTCGAAGGTTAGGACCCCTCTGCCTCCTACCATTCCCTTGACCATCCTGACTCCTCTTGGAGCCCCTCTGTCTCTCCTCCTCCTCCTCCTCTTCTTCTTCTTCTTCTTCTCCTCCTCCTCCTCCTCTACTGTGTTCGTTCTTGTTGTCTGATGTGATGATGTTTTCTCTCAACAGAGACAATGGCGAAGATTCGAAGCTTTTGCTTTAGGTTATGAGTGCCGAATCGGTTCGGTTCGGTCCGGTCCGGTCTCTTAGATGTTTGGCTGTTGACCGGTGAGAATCCGGTTTATTAGTCTTCGTGTCGTTTATGCTACGTCTACGTGTCAATAGGTCGACTGGTGGACCCCCCTTAGTCAGAAGAGCAATTGAGGGGTATTTTTGAAAGAAGTAATGATACGTAAAGTCTAATTTAAGAATTATAAATAGAGTTTTAGTGAGGGAAGGAGAGAAAGAGAAGAGAGAGAGAGAGATATAAATAAGGGTGTGGGTCTCACATTCATATGGTATTTTCAAATATTATTATTTTGAAAAGTAAGTTAAAAGTTAAATAATATAAGGGGTTATGAAAAAAATAATTATGAAAGATTCTTTATTGCACATATAATAAAACACCACACATTAATCAAATAATGAAAATTTTCATGATGTATTTCATAATATTTTTTTCATGATCCCTAATATTATTCTTAAAAATAACTTCTTAGTTTTTAACTCACTTCTCCTTTCGAAAAACAAAAAAAAAAACAAAACAAAAAGTCAAAAAAAAATTAAAAAATTAACTTTTAACAATCTTCTCAAAACACCTCTACGTTAAGAATAATGTTAGAGAGTCCAAAAATTTTATTAAAATTTTTATCAAATATCTCACATAGGTGTTGTGGGTTCCATGTGAGTCTTACATCATGTGAGACATTTGGTAGAAATTTTAATAGAACTTTTAAAATCTCTATTATTTTTGTTAAGTTAACATTTGAGTCAAAGGTCTCCTTCGATTTTTTGATATTTTTTTGAATCACATTCACTTTCTATTTTTTTACATATTATTTTTTAAAAAATTTTAAAAAAGTGAAAAAGTTAATTTTTAACTTATTTCCCAAAACAATTCAAAATTAAATACTTAAAAAAGTGATTAAAAAAATTTTAAAAAAATTAACTCATGAAAATTTTTAACATATATTCCCTTTAAAAAAAGTATATTATATTTCTATTTATGTCATTTTATTCTTTAGTTATAATTATTATTATTTAATTATGATATTATTTTAGTTATACTCATGAGTTCTTCGATTATGTCTCATATTTGAAATTATGTCAATTTTTTTTTTTTAAAGTTATAAAGTGCATGGGCGGTGTTTGGGAAAGATTTTTTTGTGGTTTTTTTTGTTTTTTCCACTAAATGACAAAATAGTTACAAAACCAAAAAAAAAAAAAAAATCCAAACAAAATATCACATCAAATCTCATAATCATTTCATTTTTTCTCTTACAAACATCACATCCAACCACAAAAAACCAAACTATCTTTCCAAACACAAAAAATATTTCTACAATAATATCTTATAACTAAAAAAATCTACAAAAAAACTTACGTCCCAAACACCCATATGGTATACATTTTTTGAAGGGTGTGCACCGCAATATTTCTATCAACTCATACATAAAAGTCAAGATTTTTTTCATATTCACTTTACATTTTATACATTTTTGGTAATAAGTTAAAAAGTTATTTCTAAACGATATAATTTTTTTCATCTCATATCGTAATTAAAAAGTCAAAAAATTATTAAAAAATTACTTCTCAAACAACATCTTAGAAATCTAAACAAATTTATTAAATATTTTACATAATAATCATATGAATAGAACTGATATTATAGGAGACTCACACGCCACATAACTATTGTATAGAAATTTTGATTTTTTATTTTTTATTTTTTTTTAGTATTTAACATTTTTGTAGTGAGAAAGGGAAGATATATCGTGAAATTGTTTCGGTGATCGTGAGTTTGGATCCTTTATAGTGACTTTCTTAGAGTAATTTTGTGTATGATTGTTGTATTTTTAATTTTTGATTATTATATGTTTTATTTTTTATTTTTATATAATTAATTATCAGTCATCAAAAAAATAACTCTAAAGCCTCGTTTAGAATATTTATTTGGGCTAAAATAACCATATAGAATAAATAGGTTATTTTATCCAAATATGACAAAATGTCACATCTAACTTAAAATCATTTTATTTTTTCTCTCGCAAAAGTCAAAAAATTAAAAAATTTATCATAAATGAGACTTTTTAATCCCAAGTTAAAATAGCTAAAAATTCAAAAAGCCAACTCACATCCCAAATCAACCCTAAAATTATTGGGCAAATTATACTAACGGTCCTTATAGTTTGGAACTTGTGTCATTTTGATCCATGACTTTTCAATTGTGACACATTTAACTCTGAATTTTGAATCATATTTCAAAGAAAGACAATTGAAAATATCACTGCTCAATTTCAAGAGTAAAATCGTCAATTTAATAAAATATAAATTAATCTGACAAAAATAAATGTCAAAAAAATATTTTTGAATTTTTAAAAATTATTTCTAACCACCAAAGATAAAATGTAAAATTGATAAATCTTTTATTTATTTATTTATTTTACCAAATTAATTTATATTATGTGTTTGGATGATAATCATGTAATGGATGATTATTTTTATTTTTATTAAATTAGTTTCTATTTTTTCAAAGGTCAAATATAGCAACACTTTGATATCAATATTAAACGAATCCATTAAATCAAAAAATCCAAAACTTAAAACATTTTATATATTAAATATATCGATTATACATTACAAGCCTAACCACCCCCCATTACATGATTATCATCCAAATACATAATAAAAATTAATTTGATAAATAAATAAATAATGCGTAAAACATTTATCAATTTTACATAATTTTATCTTTGATGAGTAGAAATAATTTTTTTAAATTGAAAAATATTTTGTTGACATTTATTTTTGTCAAATTAATTTATATTTTATTAAATTGATGATTTTGCCCTTTGAAATTTTTAATGATATCTTCAATTATTTTTATTCAGAACAAGATTTAAAATTTAAAATTAAATATGTTATAATTAAAAAGTTAAAAATTAAAATGACACGAATTCCAAACTATAGAGACTATTAATGTGATTCAACCAAGATTATTATAGTGGATTCAGACTTATTATACTACAGGTGGTATGCTCTCCAACTGTCTAATAAAGGTTGCGGGTTTGAGCTCCAAGGCAAATCCTTTGTCTTTATATTAAGCAAATTATTTGCATGTAAATCAAAGTTTGTCAAAATCTTCATTAATTTTCAACCTTCATTATATTTGAAGAGATGACACAAAGATAGAAAGAATAAGAATTGCAAAAGAGGTAGGAATCTGATGTGCAACAAAATTATATAATTTTTATATTTCTTAATTTTATTATTTTAAAATTAAATTTTGACTAAGATTTTAATAGTTTAAAATTTTAATTTCCTAATTTGTGTTGATTTATGTTTCTTAATTTTTTTTAGAATTACTTTTCTTATAAGTATTAGGTTTAGTTTATCAAAAATAAGCCTACAAGCATATATAATGAAGACATTCAATCAAAAATATTTTAAAGAGTTTTTATACTATTTTCCTTGTGGATTCAAGGTTGTTCTTGTGGATTTAAGAATTCTCGTCTACTAAAACGATATCTAGTCCATGTTTCGTCTACTAAACCGATATTTAGTTCCTTTCTACACTACCATTGCGTCAATTGGTATTAGAGCAAGGATTCGCTTGGCTCGATGTCATTCATCAAGAGAGGAAGCACAAGCTCTATTGACGATGGTCATAGAGAAAGATCTAATAGGATCCGAGTCAAGGGACTTGCCTAAGGCCAACCTGCTAGTCACAACATTAATAGGAACCGTGCTATGGGATTTTCCCAAGGCGAGCCTATTAACCACAATGTCTTGAGATGATCTTCTTGTTATCAATACGATGGTAAGGGTGAATCTGAAGATGAGTTATTCGAGGATTATGATGAATATTAGTCGGTAAGGCGACAACAAAGATTCAATGATGTGTTCAATAGAAATAATTGCATCAATCATGTCTTGTCAGATTATCAAGTACAACCAGAAATTCCCTATTTTAATACTTCTTGTCATGCTGAGGATTTTAGTTATTGGTTTCGTAAAGTTGACAAATTCCTTGAGTGTATGGAAATCTCTGAAAAAAAGCAAGCCAAATATGTCGCACGTTAGTTACAATGTTATATTTTTATATGGTGGAAACAATTGCAGTATGATCAAAGGCAACAATACAAACAACCCATTAGGACGTAGCATAAGATAAAGAAGTTGATGAGTTCTAGAATCCTTTAATCAAATCATGGGCAAATGTTGTATCAACAATATCAAAGAACGTTTAAATCGAAACAACTGTTCCAAGGTAATTTTGATTCACAATGTTCTTCGCAATTCAATAATTATTATGCAATCGTGGATACAGATTGTTTGAGGAACATGACTATGATTCTGCCATGTTTGGGTCAATCAAGTCTTGTAGGTTAACAAATTTGTCATGCTCTGCCACGCATTGAAGAAGAAAAATTTTTGAGTATCTTAATGTTTGAAAAATTTGAAAACTCAAATAGACATTCAATTGAAGTAAAAAATCAAGTTGATTTCAACAATGGTGGGAACATTGAAATTGATGAAAGCGAGAGGTCACTGCAATTACTTTGATCAAGAAGTTTGAAGAAGAAGATGATAAAGAGGTAAAGCAAGAGAAAAACGTTGAAGTTAGCCAAGAGTTTCTGATAACGGAACTATCATCTCTTGATTATTATGATGGTTATGAGATCACAAAAGGAGATCAAGTTGAACTCAATGAAAAAGAAAGAAATAAAAGATGAGATAATGAGGTAATAAAGTTGACATGTGCACCAAAGAAGTTGATTGAAGATGCAATTGATGT